AGAGAGGGGGGGAGGGAGAGAGAGAGAGAGAGAGGGGGGGAGGGGGAGGGAGAGAGAGAGATAGCACCCGGTTGAAGCTTTACCTCATTGGAGGAGAGGGGCTGTGTGTAAGCCGCATTGGACGAGGTGGTAACTTCGCTCATTCGCAGCATTGTCCGCACAATCTCGCTGCTGGTCTGAAATAGAAGAGGGGATTTTATCGTCCACATCTCCCGCACAGGATGCTGAAGCTGCCCACACACGCTACAGTCCGATTGTACAATCCCCTTTAGATCTACGAAGGGCCTGAATGGTAGTTTCCATTTGCTTATTACAAATGAACCCTTGAAGTGGGGCTACCCCGGCACTGCAGTGGGTTAAGCGATCATTTTGGTCTAGAGTCTAAAATAAAAAAAACGATTTACTCGCCCGATCTTCGGCCCTGCCTGGCTGCCAGACCGGTCCCCAAAGCCTCTTCTCTGCCGGGCTCTGGCAGTCCAAGGGCCCGTGACATCATCACGTCCATTGACTTGCATGGGACGTGAAGATGCCGAGGGACATTCCACGGCCAGAGCGTGAGCAGTCACCATCGCAGGATAACTTTTTTTTAATTCTAGACCCTAGACCAAAACGAACACTTAACCCTTGCAGTTCAGGGGCAGCCCCACTGCAAGGGTTAATTGTTTTAATATGCCCAGAGTTCTTCTTTAATCCCAACATACTTGTCACAGTCTGAATGTACAATCTCCTTTAGATCTACCAACAACAAGTTAGTGCCGTGGGCACGCGTGATTGGACACTGGGTACATTAGACAGGTCCTCTTAGGACATCGTTTTGGGTAAATCTAACGTTGATTGTACGGTCAGGTGACCCTCAGGGGCATTTCTTACAATCGGATCGCGAGAGAGCTGTCGTACCTGATCCATCTTGTTGGAGACGGCGCTGATGATGGCCTGGTCTCGGAAGTGTTGGTGGAAGCGCTCGGTGTTAATTTGCCAGTAAATCCCGTCATCCTGGTTGTCCTGCAGAGAGAGAAAGACAGGGCAGAGTCACGCCACTGCGTATGTCGGCATCACCTTCCTCGTCACGCTTTCAATGTACGTTAACTGACATGATACAATTGACATTCTGAAGTCTTCTTCATGTATGAGACAATACTGCAGACTAGATACCTGCTGCTCCTGCCAGCGCCCTTCATGTCTTAGGACTTCCTCTTCCCTTCTGACCACGCCGTCCACAGATCCAGGTTAATGGCAGTGTAGTCAGTTTGTGTCCTCACTCCTATACTTCGGATCTATCGAAAGGCATGCTAAGGGTTCGGTTGTCACCTCCTTGGGATCTACCGGACGGCATGCCAAGTGTTCTGTTGCCACCTTAGGATCTACCGGACGGCATGCCAAGTATTCTGTTGTCACCATGGGATCTACCGGACGGCATGCCAAGTGTTCTCTCACCTCCTTGGGATCTACCGGACGGCATGCCAAGTGTTCTGTTGTCACCATGGGATCTACCGGATGGCATGCCAAGTGTTCTGTTGTCACCTCCTTGGGATCTACCGGACGGCATGCCAAGTGTTCTCTCACCTCCTTGGGATCTATCGCACGGCATGCCAAGTGCTCTGCTGTCACCTTGAGATCTACCGGACGGCATGCCAAGTGTTCTGCTGTCACCTTGGGATCTACCGGACGGCATGCCAAGTGCTCTGCTGTCACCTTGGGATCTACCGGACGGCATGCAAAGTGTTCTGCTGTCACCTTGGGATCTACCGGACGGCATGCCAAGTGCTCTGCTGTCACCTTGAGATCTACCGGACGGCATGCCAAGTGTTCTGCTGTCACCTTGGGATCTACCGGACGGCATGCCAAGTGTTCTGCTGTCACCTTGGGATCTACCGGACGGCATGCCAAGTGTTCTGCTGTCACCTTGGAATCTACCGGAAGGCATGTTGAGCATTCTGTTGTCAGGCTGTGACATCATAGGCTGACATGCCCCCATTGCCCGCCCCTTCCTGTTTCCCTGCCTAGCCCTTGACTGACAGCTGCTCCTGGCTGCAGTCCTACTGTCAATATCAAGAGAAACGGCAGAAGCCGTGTTAGCAGCAGGACCCCAATGGGATAGTCTTGTGGGGTCACCCGTTCAGAAGGGGCGGGATCTATTATATGGGGCGTTCCAAGGGTCCCTGGAGCAGTCCGAACACAGTGAGGGGAATTTATTAAAACTGGAGCAGACAAAATCTGGAGCAGCTGTCCCTTTAAGTCACTTACATCCGGCTCTTTCTTTTGCCTCTTGCTCTGACTGGCACCTTCGTCCTCATCGGAGGATCTCCGCCTCTTCCCCCGACCTGTGTGAATCAGACAGAGACCGTTAGATTTCGGTAAGAGGAGGAAAGCCAGGACCGGACGCAGCTCGTCCTGCCCTTACCGATCAGGAGGACTCGGGGGACGCAGAACAATTCCTTCTCATTGGTCACAAAGTTTGGAACGACTGGTGGGCGGCGCCCTTCTGTGCCGGAGGCGCCTTCTTCGTCCTGAACAACTGGACAGCGCTGTACGAAGTGTGTGTCCGCCAGCTGGCTGAAGGTGGTCGAGACCTCGCTGTATTCCATACTCTTCCCGTCTGAGGGACAAGAGGAAATGTTTAATATGAGAATGCAGCCTATCCAATCACTAGAGACCGGTGACATCACTGAGAGTGCAGCCTATCCAATCACTAGAGACCGGTGACATCACTGAGAGTGCAGCCTATCTATTCACTAGAGACCGGTGACATCACTGGGAATGCTGCCTATCCATTCACTAGAGACCGGTGACATCACTGAGAATGCAGCCTATCCAATCACTAGAGACCGGTGACATCACTGAGA